TTGCAAGATATAAACTCGCAATTCTGAGAACTTGCAACTGCAAAAAAAATAAATAATAAAATCAGATATCTGAGATAAAAAGAAGTTGCAATTACCATTTTTATTTTTAATTCCAGCAGGATGTAATTATTATAGCAGTATATCTTGCAATTCAGTATTGTTTCTCAGATTTGTGAATCACGCAATTCTGTGTTTATGAACAGACTTACATAGTCTTTCCGAATCATGTCCACAATTTGTTGTGTGTTTATATAGCAAGTGCCACAAATGTCAAAGGTTTCGTACCATTCCAATAAAGTTCACAAATGTAAAAATTCTAAACAGTCTACAATGACAAAACCAGGGAGTTAAAAGTGTTAGTAAATCTATCACAGCTGCTCACCTTTCTCTTGCACAGGTATTGCAGGATCTTGTCCGGACTGCTGCGCAGGACACTCTGTTTGCAGAACATAACAGCCGACACCATCCCATCTTTACGAGACACAAACCGCTGCTCCAGGTAAAATGACTTCTCATCCCAGGTAATGATTCGACTGCGAATCTCAAACGCCTCACCGACACACAGCGGCCGTCTATAGCGGATGGTAGTTGCCCCAACGACCATGGTGGCCCCTAGAGCTCTTAAAGCCTCGAATACCCCATTGCGAGTGTACAAAGAGAAACGGGCAAAGTCACACTCGCGTAGGTAGCGTGCATTGTTCATGTGGCAAAGGTCAACGTCATGGAGAACGACTCGTCCGCTAGCAATCTGCTCTGCTGTGATGTCAAATACAGGTGAGAGGAACCAGGCCCTGACCAGCACAACCACTACCCGCAAGTAATACCACACATCCAGACTGCAGAACAGGAGTAACAACACGCCCACAATCCACAGCAGTGTGTCCTCCCTGGAATATACAGAAGTAAGGTTTAAGCCAGAATGTACAAGAGATTTCTGTGGGTCTTAATTCACCCTTCAACAAATCAAGGCCTAAAGAGGTCTTAATTCAGAGCAGTTTTAAATTCATAAAGTCATGGCATTAAATGTAGCATACATTGCGAAAGAATAAATATCATCCTCAGTATTTTTTTTTACCTGGTTTCCAATACAAATATCTAAACATCCTTAAAGGAACACTCCAGTATTTTTGAAAATAGGCTCATTTTCCAACTCCCCTAGAGTTAAACAGTTGAGTTTTACCGTTTTCGAATCCATTCAGCCGATCTCCGGGTCTGGCGGTAGCACTTTTAGCTGTAGCTTAGCATAGATCATTGAATCTGATTAGACCGTTAGCATCTCGCTCAAAAATGACCAAAGAGTTTCTATATTTTTCCTATTTAAAACTTGACTCTTCTGTAGTTACATCGTGTACTAAGACCGACGGAAAATGAAAAGTTGGGATTTTCTAGGCCGATATGGCTAGGAACTATACTCTCATTCCGGCGTAATAATCAAGGAACTTTGCTGCCGTCCCACGGGTGCAGCAGGCGCAATGATATTACACAGCGCCTGAAAATAGTCCCAGCTAGGTAACTTCCAATAAGCCTATTTTCAGGCGCTGCGTAATAGTACACGATGTAACTACAGAAGAGTCAAGTTTTAAATAGGAAAAATATAGAAACTCTTTGGTCATTTTTGAGCGAGATGCTAACGGTCTAATCAGATTCAATGATTTATGCTAAGCTAAGCTAAAAGTGCTACCGCCAGACCCGGAGATCGGCTGAATGGATTCGAAAACGGTAAAACTCAACTGTTTAACTCTAGGGGAGTTGGAAAATGAGCCTATTTTCAAAAAAAGTGGAGTGTTCCTTTAAATCAAGATACATTTACTTGAGATGCAAAGTGAACATATGAAGTCTTGTTTTCTGTGAAGTGGGTTTATGCTTAAAACAAGAACAAATATCTGTCAGTGGAGTATGAAAACTTGTTTTCCCTTTGAATTAAGGAGATTGTTCGTTTTAATCCCAAACTCAAGGCTTCTTATGTCAATTTGCTTTTCAGGTAAATGTATCTTGATATAAGAATCTTTAAACATTTGCACTGGAAAACAAAAATACTGATGAAGAACATCGCTTATTTGCAGTGTGATCACAAGGTACAGTAAAAGTTATCTCCTTATTTTAGTGGTTGAGAGCAGAGCTATTCAACCCGAAAGTTATTTATTTATTTATTTGAATTAAAGTATTAGAGATCTGTTGGAAGTTGTTCCAAACTTTGAAACATTGCTAATACAAGACATTTACATTTAGAGACCATATTGACATACTGTATTGCGTTGCATTCAGTTTACCCCTCAAATGTTCATTACTTGGTATTAAAAGTCTTATTTGATATATGCATGGGAAACTGTCATGCCACATCAGCGACAGTGAACAATGTCATCTGATCTTAAACAGCATTTTTATTTTATTTTATTATTAAAAGTTGCATGTTATTTGTCAGTATCTCACTTGTTAAAACAACATGAGATGTCAGTACATTTCTGTATCATTTTTGTGGTTCTGAGATTTTTAGGGTGTTGCTACAAGCCTCGTTCAAGTAGAACTAGTTAGGCTGGTTTGTGAACACGTTGTAACGAGTGATTTTTTGGGGGGGCTGCTTTTTATAAACGTATTTCCAGTATCAGACACCATAGAATGTATTTGTGGGAAAATGATAAATAGACTAAAACAACAATAAGATAAACTCACTCAAGTCTACATTTAGTTTACGAATTTAAATGTAAATCTTCAACATTTAACATAGTTGATCTGTTTCAAGTTTCGCATTTACAACGAACGATAAGTTGGACTGCTGTCGGAAACTAAATTAAGAGCTGTAAAAGTGTCAAACACAGTACTTACATGTCCACGCTGCTCCAGTTGCTGTTTTACGTCTGTAGTGTACGCCTGCTGAACGCGCGATGACACGCCCCCTCAACGTGACGTCACGGAAGAACGTTCAAAATGACAGAATTCAAGTTCTTGACATATTTCTCAAATGTACACATTTTGTAAGTACAAATGAAACACAATTGAAAGAAAATAACAAAAATAGAACTTAAAAGATAAAGAAAACAAATTAATTGGCATCACAAATCTACAAAAAAAACCGTATTATATAACTATATATATATATATATATATATA